AAGGCCGAGGATAGGGGTTTAACAAGTTCAGGGTCTCTCGGGAGCCTTTCCCTTCTCCCAGGTCTTGTTAGACACCCTGTTTACCTGCCCTTAATTGCCCCAGGGGGAGACGTTTGCTCCTTCCCCGCTCCCCCACCTCCCGTCCTGTCCCCTCCGCGGACACTGAAGGCTGAGTTCCTCGGGCCTGGGAAGAAGCCAGGGCGCAGTAGAAGTGAGAAGAGTCGGGAGATGCACCCACGGGTGTTGCAGGTCGGGAGGGACGAAGTAACAGGCTTGAGGGGGTAATCCCTGTAGAAGAGCGGCGAAGACCTCTCTCTGCAAGAGAAGTGGGAAGCAACGAGGGAATAGAATGGAGGGAAGAACGGAGAACCCCCTGAAGGAGCGGGGGCACAACCCAGTCCCCAGATGCTGGCCCACCCTCCGCGGAGCGCGGGAGGGGGGTAACCCCGGAGGCGTGGTTAGCTTCGAAAGCTCTGCTGCGGCCTCTGTGCACCTCCCTTTCACTGCTGGGTTAAGTGGGATGACAGATTCAATTAAAGAGGTTGTGCCCAACAGACAGGTCGGGTCTCCTAGGAGTCATGGTTTGGGATTCCTGGCACCCAGCCTTCTGCTCTCTACCCCACCAGATACCAATGGGCACAGCTAACTCGCCATCAGGTTTTGATTCACATAGCCAGGTTGAGGGGGCATTTCTGAGGCTTCTCTGCCACCGATCACAGGGATAGGTAAGAGGTGGCTTCTTGTCGTCACGCAGCAACCACTTTCTATGCTCAGTCCACCCTCTTGAGGAAACTGAGGTACCACCTGTAGGAACATCTCTGGAGTTGGCTTGCTCCCTGCTGTAATGGGGTGTGTGGCTTCCGGGGTGGGGGGCAGCCACGGGGAGGGGCTGGCATCAAAATCAGGCTGCATACATGCGTGAGGCCGAGGGAACAGGGCTCCAGGGTAGCTCTGGGGCTGGTCTAGGCCTGGCACTCTGTGCTGGCGGGCTGGCTGGCTGGTGGCCCCTTCCCCAGGACCGTAGGAAAGACACAGGAGGCTATGGGATTGGGATGGACATACAACGCATGGGTGGTGGCTGGGAGCAGCCGGGCCTCGCCTAACCCGTTTTCCTGCTCTCAGCGCCCGCCCGTCGAGACTCCTGCCCACCTGAGTGCCAGGGACAGGGAGGGGCCCGAGTGACCCATCACTCCCATGGGAACCAAGTGGGACTGGTGGCATTCCTGATGACTCAAGAGGACCGTGCCGTGCCTGTTCTTACTGGAGAGAGAGCCCAAACACCAGCTGTTACCCATCTGCCTCCTTGCCCGTCCTGGGGAGGGGGCAACACAATCCAGTGAGGTTGGGGGATGTCAGGGAGGACCCTCGAGGCCTTGTCCCGGGAAGAAGCCCTCCAAGCGCATCTCCCTGATGTATCCGATTGCTGATTGTAGAACTGGGTAGTGCCTGCCTGGTGACACAGACAGCCACTTCCTTCCCTCGGGGAGTTCCCAGGGACTAGGGACCCAGTGGTTTGTCATCCCACCAGGTATAAGCCATGCTTTCTTGTGCCCACTGACCTCCCACATCACTGCCAACATGTACGCACGCTTGCCCTGAGGACGTTAAAGGAAACGTCTATCCACTCCGCCACACTCCTGCACTGCGGTGTCTCTGTCGTCCCCCACACCATTCTGTGCTATCACCCAGGATGTTCAGACCAGCACTCAGATGGGGACTAACAGGCAGGTGGGGGTTCCTGGGGACCCAGTATCTGCTTCTCTGTCCCAGAGGCTCCTCTGGAGAGTGACAGACACAGTCATCTTGTCTAGGCCTGTGCTCTTATTAGTAGTCTAGCATTATCATGGTGTGTGTGTGGGGTGTGTGTGTGTGTGCAGTGCAGTGGCATCTACGTGGAGGAAGGAAGTATGTAACGAGGCAGTAATCTTGGGGTGATCACAGGGAGGGCCTTGATGCTGAACTCCTCAGCTCCGGGATCTGTGTCAGGTTATTGGGGACTTCATTGTCCATGGCCTCGGGGTGGAGGCAAATGGGACTCAGAACCACAAAGACAGAGGTCCTATCGTGTGGGGAATTCAGGGGGGAGCCCTGAGATCGCTGGGGCCAGCTAATACGGGCATAGGCCCAGCACCCCATGCAATCTACCTTTTCCGAGTATCTGCCGCCCAGGAGTGGGCGGTGGACATTTTTGTGTTTGTGCCATGGAACTTGTGCATGTATGTGCATGAAGCCGCCATACACGCGTGTACGAGGCCAAGTCCTGTCGGACTGGCCTGGGGGGTGGGGGGGTGGACCTGCAGCAGCAAGAAGGCATTCTGGGAGAATCGATGGGAGAGAGCGCTGGTGCTCCAAGGAAGGGGGCTCTCCGCTTCCACCCTTCGCTTCCAGTCCTCAGTCCCTCCTCGGGGCTGGTGAATTGTGGGGAATGGACTGAGGAAATCCGGGCCTGGGTCTGGGAGTCGTTGGGGCCTGCGCTGTTTCTGTGGCAACCGGAGCCAGGTTCCTTCTTTCCTCCGCCCCTCTCCCTCTCCTCCTTAGGAGGTAGGCCAGGCTTCCCTGTGCCTTTGCTGCCCTCTGGTGGCCACCAGGAGAAGGACAGGCCAAAAAGGAGAGAACACAGTAAAGGGGACAGAGAGGGGCCGAGGGGAAAAAAATGTAGGAAAAGCCAAGACTCTGGGGGAGTGAATTCTTATTATTTTGACGATCAAAACACACCACCTGTATGAACTAAAATGCCCTAATGAAGGTCTGCGAAGTGGTGACAGGGAAAAAAAAAAACCTTAGAGCGTTGGGGGTTTCTTCTCTGACCCGCTTCCTTTGTCCCCAGCCTGCGGCGAGAGGGCTACACGGTGCAGGTGAACGTGAACGACTATCTGGATATCTACTGTCCGCACTACAACAGCTCCGGGCCCGGCGGCGGGGCGGAGCAGTACGTGCTGTACATGGTGAACCTGAGCGGCTACCGCACTTGCAACGCGAGCCAAGGCTCCAAGCGCTGGGAATGCAACCGGCAGCACGCCTCGCACAGCCCCATCAAGTTCTCCGAGAAGTTCCAGCGCTACAGCGCCTTCTCGCTGGGATATGAATTCCACGCCGGCCAAGAATACTACTATATCTGTGAGTGCCGGCTCCTCGGTCTCTGGGGTGATCCAGAGTAGGGTAGGGTCCCGGGGACCCCCGGCCGGCCGGTGTGGTCACCAAGGATAAGGCTTCGGAGTTTCCTCTCCGAGGGGTTGTGAGGATTGGGAGGGTGGGGGGACGCGGGTTGGTGACAGCCCCAGATTTGGGCCTCAGAGCATTTCTGTGACCCGGGGGGAGGGCGTTCTGGGTTGGGCTGGCTATAAGAGCCATGGAGACCAGTCCAAAGGATGGAGTAGTTACTCCAGGACGTAGCCGGATGCGGGTGATTTGGAGGGGGGGCGGGGATGAGAGTCTAGGCGTCAGGTCTGCAGGGCACCCAGTGAGTGAACGCAACTCAGGCCCAGTCTCCTCCCCAGCCACGCCCACTCACAACCTGCACTGGAAGTGTCTGAGGATGAAGGTGTTCGTCTGCTGCGCCTCCAGTGAGTAGCGTCGTCGGCTTGCAGCCACGTCTGCATCCTAGCCTCCCCGCTTTGGGGCTCCCTTGGCTTCCTGGGGATGGGGGGCAGAGGGCACAGGCGACCGGGATTAGCTTCCCCAGCTGTAGCAGGGGGAGGGGGTCCTGGCCCTGACTTTCCCCTCCTCTCTCCCCACCCGCACCCCACCCCGCAGCATCGCACTCCGGGGAGAAGCCGGTCCCCACTCTCCCCCAGTTCACCATGGGCCCCAATGTGAAGATCAACGTGTTGGGTGAGTCTGCGCAGCGCCCTCTGGTGGCCACTGCTGGAACCGCAGCCCCCTTCCCGGTGCCTGCTTTTTTTTTTTCCGCCCCCTGCATGCCTTCTCTTGGGACCAGAGCCCTTCTTCCTGCCCCTCCCGCCCCTAGGGGTGGTCACCTCCCTGGGCTCCACTGCTGCTGCTGCCGCCGCCGCCGCGTGCCCCCCGCCCCAGCGCACAGCCCAGCCCTGACCAGTCTGTCTATTCATCTTTCCACAGAAGACTTTGAGGGCGAGAGTCCCCAGGTGCCCAAGCTTGAGAAGAGCATCAGCGGGACCAGCCCCAAGCGGGAACACCTGCCTCTGGCCGTGGGCATCGCCTTCTTCCTTATGACACTCTTGGCCTCCTAGCCCTGCCCCTTCCTATGGCAGAGAGAGGTGGGGGCGGGGCTGAAAAGGAGCAGGGAGTCGGCTGTGGGGCCTACATCCTTCTCCCCATGGTTGGGAGTGGGGTCTGCACTGTACATCTATCTATCTGTGCCTGCCTCTTTGCCCACTCTCTCCAGGACAGGCACTGTAGCGGGTCAGTCACAGGGACAGCCGCAGGTCCCGGGCGGCCTGTGGCTTCGGTAATGTTTGGTACCAAACCTGGGGGGCTTTAAAAGGCAGTGCTCTGGACTCCCTGCCCCCTGGTACCTTTCCCCGACCCTCGGTGCCCCTCCCTCTTTGTCCCCCAAGAGGCACATATGCCCCAGAGAGAACAAACGAAGCCTGGGAGGTGCCCCCTGTCACTCTCCTGGGGGGGGCGGGGCAGAACACGGGGAGGGGACTAGATGGGTGAGGGGCGGAGCCTCAGGCTCCCTCTTCCCCTGTTTACAGCAATAAGCATGTCCTCCTCCTCCCACTCCCACACAGAGGACTGTGGTTTGGATTGAATCCAAGTTTACAAATAGACACCCCTGGGGGGAGCAGGCAGTGGACAGGGGTGGGCATTGGGGTGCCAGACAGGCATGTACAGACACTATATCTCTATATATAATGTACAGACAGACAGAGTCCCTTCCCTTCCTTAACCTTGACCTTTCTTGACTCCTCCTTCCAGATTCAGACCCCTCCCCACCAGGTTAGGCCCCCTCGGGACCCCCCTGGCCCCTCTTTTGTCTTCTGTGAAGACAGGACCTATGCAACGCACAGACACTTTTGGAGACCGTAACAACAATGCCCCGTCCCTTCCCGCTCTGAGCTGGGAACCAACTCCTAGGACCTCGCCCTGCCCGCCCTGTGGTCCCCACCCATCCCGGGCCTTTTTCAAGTGCTTTGCTGTGACTTTCATACTCTGCTCTTAGTCTAAAAAAAATAAACTGGAGATAAAAATAACTGAGTGTGTGTGGTTTCAAGGGGCCATGTCACCCCATTTCACGGGCTGAACCCTATAGGGCTCAGGTCCTGGGTGAGGAGGGCATTCTAGGCCAGAGTCCATGGAGTGCCTGGCTCTAGAGTCCAGCTCTATGTGGAGATAGCTTCCAGTTGAGCCTGGGTGACTCTGGGCAGATTCCTCAACCTTTCTAGGCTCAGCTTCCCCACCGAGAATATGACTTGAGGACCCGTTTCCCAGGGCCCATGGATGGGAGTTCAGACTCAGGCTGGAGTTCTCTATGCTGTAGGCAGGCTTTTGGCTGGGTCCAAGGATTTCAGGGGACTTGTGAACCTAGATAGGAAAACAATTACATCTTTCTTTTCACTCACCTGTGACAAATTTAGCACTTCCCTTATGTACTGGATGGGCGTCAGGCCACGATAGCGTTAACAGTACCTGTGACTTTGTAGCCAACAGAAATCCCAGATGTTTTCAGACTGCTTTATATCTCAGAATATCATTTATGCGCCACTACTTTGAAATGATCCTAGTTGTTAGACTTTTCTTGTTTTTAACATGTTAATAAAGAAACATATATATTACATACCAAAAATGTAAACGTCTGTTAACTGTGTTTCAATATAACTGGGTTCCTTCCTGACCCTTTGAGATTTTATTCGTTTAAAAATGTGTTCCCGGGTGGGGCCTGGGCTCCACCTGACCACAGCCCCCTGTGTCAGGAGAGCAGAAAGAACAAAGGTTATGGGCAGGACAATCGAAGGGGCTTCTCAGGGGCCAGGGAGGAGGCTTTGTCATAGCCCAGGGGACTTCACCGCACCCTGGTCTTCTAACTGGTACTAGGCAGGCTAGATCCTAGGCAAGCATCCCTCCTATGTGCTCCTGCAGATGTTAGTTGCATTATGACGGCCCTCGCCAGGTGTGGTGGCATGTACCTGTAATGCCAGCCCTCGGTGGGGAGGAGTCAGGGAGACGCTGCAGATCGAGGGCAGACTAGGCTGTGGAGCGAGGCCCTGTCTGAGAGTGTGCAAACTCTTGGTAAGTTTTCGCTATCACCTAACGGAGATGCTTGGAGTAGAAGGCAGACAGGGGCAGAACCTGCGGCAGACACTACTATACCAAAGGACGGGAAAGGCTGGCCCGGCCCTTCCGTTTTCCATGTTGTCAGTCGATACTCAGGGAACACCTGCCAAGTGCCGGGTACTGGAGGGACAAGGAAGACACTGTCTGTACTCAGATACGCTGATTTCCCAGGTGTGGGGGTGCACACCTGCAATCCTGGCTTGGGAGGCTGAGGTAAGAAGACAGAGAGTTCAAGGATAGTGTGGGCTACATATGCTGTCTCAAAAAACAAGAGCCAGTCCAATGGCTCTGTGGTAAATCACTTGTGAAGGCCACATGACCTAAGTTTGAGCCCCCAGAAGCCACATAAAGGCAGGATGGGAGGGGCTGGAGAGTTGGCTCAGTGGTTAAGAGCACTTGTTCTTGCAAAGGACCTGGGTTTGGTTCCCAGCATCCACATGGAGGCTCATCCCTTTCTCAGGCACCAGGCATGCATG